CCACCTCTCGCCCCCCACGCCCCGCGAGACCTCGTCGCTCCACTGATCAAATGCGCGCGGGGGCCGGGGGCCGGCCGGGTAGCGAGCCGTACTCCTCCCTTTAGCCGGCCCGGCCCCACACCACCTGCCCTGCTCCCCGAAGCCCCATCCACCCTCTGGGGTAAGCCTGCCCCGCCAGCCTCTGCCTCGGATCCTCCCTGCTGCTGCTCGGCGCGCGGAACTCCGGCTCTCGGGTCTGCAGGGAACAAACAAGACTCAAAGAAGTGCGCAGGCTCTGCTGCTGCGGTGGAGGCCGGGCTAGGCCTGGGCAGGCCGGGGGCTGCTGGGCCTGTCCCGCGGGGCAGGGAATTCATGGGGGCGCGTTTGGACAAGTGTAAGCCATGTTTCACCGCCGAAACAGGAAGGCAGGGAGGCGAGGGGAGGAGAGCGGGGGCGCCGCCGCCCTGGTGGGACACGCCGCCGCCCCCGGTGCTGCAGGTGCATCACTCACCGCGCCTCCGCCCGGGCCCGGGGTGCTTTGTTCAATATGTCGCCTCGCAACAACAACAAAAACAAGGTCGACGTAGACCTGTGTGAAGCTGTGAGAAATGGCCACGTGAATCTACAACATTTCTCGTAATTTTGATTTTAAAGTTTCGAAGAAAGTTTATGGAATATAGAAATATATTACGATTTAAAGTTCGCTATTGCTCGGTAAGAGTTTTTTTCTTTTCAACATTTATCAACGAAAAACAGTCCCTCTGGTAGCACCTTCGAAAAAAATGTTCAAGGTATACCTGGAATATTTATTTTTTCCCTGCAAAACGGTGCATTTCTTTACCTTCCATGGCCTTTCTGCTGAACGATGGACTGATAGCTCATCGGTCGGGTCCTACAAGGTATGCGTTGCACGGTATAATAACGCGTGTGCAGGGCCGGCCGTGTCGACACGGTGCTCGTCTCATGGCGTGGCGCGTGCATGCATGCAGAGCGGTGCAGGGCTGCCGAGCTGGACACGGAGCAGCGCCGCTGTTACACAAGTTTCATCACCGCAGCCAACTAATCGAACGAATGCATTGAACGGGTCGGGGGCGGCCTGGGGCGGCCTGGGGCGGCCTGCTGGAGCCGGCTGGAGCGGGCTCATGGGCTGCTGGAGAAGAGAACCCCACTCCCCGCCACGCCCGCGCCCGCTGCTGCTGCTGCTCGCATGCGCGCGGATCGTACATACGTACGTGGTTTATTCATGTGTCATTCCGCACTGCTCCACTGGCCTACACATCGACAAAAAAATACGAGGGAGAGGGAGAGAGAGAGAGAGAGAGAGAGGGAGAGAGAGAGAGAGAGAGAGAGAGAGCACTCAGCACTCCAGTAGGTCGTGCTGCTGGAGGCCCGAGCTCGCCATCATTCATGTGATACTGTGGTTGCAGTATCACATGTAATTTTGGTTGTGAGGAAAGACTGCTGTCAAGATAGATAGAAATTGCTCGACTATAATCTTATGATTATTTAATTATCTATAGAGGTCCCGAAACGGAATGAATTTCGTTTCGTTGACGCGTCGCCATTCCATTTGTTTCTTTTTAGCCAAGTAGTGCGAAACGGACCAGTGTACTCTTACTATACCTCAAGAGTGTTGAACCGGGAGATAAGTGACGAGATTTTGCTGGCTGGAAGCGAGAAGTGGGACGCTCCGCCACGCCGCGCTCCGCCACGCCACGGCGCGCGCCTGCATTACAGAGAGACTGAAGGAGCAGAAGTGCACCGTAACGCAAAAGAGCACAATCGACTTGACGTTTTCATGGCGCGGCTTGGCGCTGCTGGGTGGCGGCGCTCGCTGTTCGCGTCCTCCTTACAAGGCGTAGTGCCGCACGGATTCGACGTGCTTCCGGGTGTCCCCGGGACACTGGCCGGCCGCGCTGCACCTGCGCCCTGCGCGCCCGCCGCCCGCCGCCCGTCAGGCCGTCAGGATGCAAACATATTCCCAGGAAATGCCGTAAAACGGACTGCAAATGACATTGTTTCCGTAGAGCGGCCGGCCGGCTCGGCTCGGTCGGGCTTTTCATTACAGTGCTGCCCGAGCTGAGCAGCGCGCCGGCCGGCCGCCTAGCAGCTGGACACAATGTGGACGCGGCGGGAAGAAACCACGCCTAGTTTATGGGCTTTCAAGTGCGAATAGTGGCTAAGCAACTAACGGTTGGCCAAACTTGAAATATTTTCACTGTGTACGTTTACACGTACGTTGTTCACGCGCAAGCTGCCTTTCGCTGTGCAAAAAAGGGCAGGTCGGAATGTTTTTGAAAAAAATGAATCAAAGACAGTACGATAGGGAGAGTTTGTTTTTCCCCCGAACTCTACGGCACGCTTGGGCAGGCCGGCCGGTCGTGCGCGTTTTTCTTTTCAATCGTTTGATTGGTTCATCTTTTGTGGAATCACACTACAATGCGTGGGATCGCGCATTCAGCGCTGAGCCCCCACCACCAATAGAAACCCCGAAAAAATGTCCTCGACGTGCAATTTTCTATCTCACCTGCTTCGGCAGCGCTGCGCTCCGCGGTGTTACTTTCCTGCTCCGCGCTCCCCGCTCTCCTTCCCTCCCTCTCTCTCTCTCCCGCGCCGTCTGGCGCTCTGCCGCCGCGGTGTCCGCATTATATTGTATCGGGCGAGACTGTGACTGGCAAAGTCGCTTATCCCTTTCGTCTGCTGTGTAGTTTTTTCTTTCTTCTCTCTCGGCCACTCTCGCTGGCCGGCGCTACCGGCCGCTCTGGTGGATTTCATTTACTCCGTGATGGCATTCGTAAGCCCTACATTCGCCGGCCCCGCCCAGCCCCGCCCGACTTGGCATGGCTTTTGGCCCTCGCTGCCCAGCCCAGCCCAGACCACACGGAACACCGTACGGCCGAGCCCAGCGCGATTGGGATCCTGCGCAATGTGTGCATTTGGTCCGGACCAACAGGAAAGCGCATAACTTTTATTTCTTTATCTCGGAAGGGACGGGTGGTAGCTGGGCCTCTTTGCCCCTCGCTGTGCTTCAAACAGGGCCTATGAGGACGTTGCATAAAAAACAAAAAGATTAGCTATATTGACATTTTTCGCTAGTTTTAACTACATTGCTGAATTTTAGCTACATAGCTAAACAATTAGTTATCCCTCGTTTAGCTTACCTTTGGTTTAGCTAATATTTTTTCGGTGTGGACGCTTATGCCCGGAGAGACGCTCCAGGCAGCGGGACGGCATTGTTTCCTCCGGCGGGGCCGGCATCATGTATGCCTTGTCCCGCTGCCCGCGCCGCGCGCTGCGCCGGCCAGCTGGCCGGAGCGTCCAGGACTGCTGGATGGAGGCACCGACCGGTCGACCCCGGCCAGTGTCGCGTGTCAGCTGCTTGTCACGTGCGCACGTCCGTCCGTCCGAGCCGCCCCACACTCTGCAAAAACACTTGCAACCGGAATGGCAATGCTAAAACAAGTCATCACAAGCCTTTAATTGTTGTTCTCGGAAATATCGACCACAAAGATAGTTGAACACATGTTGTGGCATAGTTTTTCTTCCTGGCCGTTCCGCATACGAAAACCCCCTCATATCTACCTCATTTCTGTATTTACCCCTTCAAGAACTACAAGATAAAGTCGCTTGCGTTTTGGGCAATTTTTTATGCTTTACTTTTACATTACAAAACTTAAAAAAATTGTGAAATAGTAAAGATTGATAATGATTGTGGTTATCTTATGATTTAAGCTGGAGACATTGTTATGGTTGAATCGCACTGTGACGTTTGGAGTGGCGCTTAACCAAATTGTGTGGCGGTGTGTTCGCAGGGGCTCGGAGGGCGTCGGCCTGGACAACTCCCCCAACGGCAACCAGCGCGGCGACATGGGGCGCCGGGCCAGGCCGGACCTCATCCAGACGGCCGAGCAGCCTCACCGCACCAGGTGAGTCGAGGGTCCCTGCCGTCCGTCGGTCCCCGTGACGGGTAGGCAGCCCAGCCACGTTCCACCTTTATAGGCAATTAGTCGAGAGGCTGTCCGCCCGGACAGGACGGTTAAGGGTGCGGTGGATTAAAGTCGCTCCTCGGCCCCGCTCTGCTACCCCACAGGCGTACTCTGCTACTCTGTTGGCCCGGCATTTTTGATGCCTAACCACTCTTCAGCAAAATTTTCGCGTCACGCGCGCTGCGGTACTTGAGGTTGGGGGCCCCCTTAGCCCGCCGAGCACCGCAGCGCGGCGGGTTGCCTACCCTTGGGCCCGCAGGCTGACTGGAGCAAGTGGGAACAGCGCGCGTAAGCCAATTTAATCCCCTTCCGCTGAACCGCATCTCACTGGCCGCCCTGCCGCAGCGGCGGCAGCCCCCCCCCC